TAGAGTATATCCATCTCCCTCCGACAGTGCGGCACTCCTTTCAGGGACTGTGTCACCCTGTGTTGTAGAGTTGTTTCGATGAAGTACAGTGTATGAAATATTCTGCTTCATGGCTGCATTGTGACCAGTGTCTCTTTCCCTCTCTCCGTCTCTCCCTTGCTGTCTGTCTGTCTGTCTGTCTGTCTCTCTCTCTCTCTCCCCCTCCCTCCACCCACCCCTTTCTGTCTTTCTCTATCCCTCGCTCTCTTTTCACTCCCAATGCATGCACATTGTGTCTCTGTCTGTGTGCCACTTCTTGCATTCTTGCTCTCTCCTGGCTCCTCCCTCACCCTTGCGTGTGCTCTGTCTCTCTCTCTCTCTCTCTCTCCCGCCCTCCCCTTCCCCTATCCCGTCCTGGTGCTGGTGCAGGCTCAGCTGAAGGACGTGCTACGAGAGGTGGACGAGGCTCGCTCGGCCCGAGAGGAGATCGTCCTGCAGTCCAAGGACAACGAGAAGAAGCTGAAGAGCCTGGAGGCAGAGCTGCTGCAGACGCAGGAGGTATCAACTCCCTTCCTCCCCCTCAGGACCGGGCCAGGCTGAGGGGGAGGGGGAGCTGGTTCTGAGCTGGGGTCCCTCTTTACAAAACCATCCATGCAAAATCCCAACCACTAGCCATTCCAGATTACATCTTGCTCTGATATTAACAAGGCTGGGTGAACAGCGTGAAGCGGGGGAGCTTCTAGTCAATAGTGACCATAATATCGCGTGTCACAGAAGCTCATAAATCTGTCAAACAAAGTGACGTAGATTGACGCATAGCGGATAGTCTAAGGAAATAAAACAGGCAGCAAAGCAGTCTTAAACAGATGGTTTGTAATTGGGACTGGGGGCATCCAGGGGTTTCGAGAAGGGGAGTTGGGGTTAACTCTGAGGCCAGACTTTGATAACTGGTGTCGGGCTATGGGTAGGATTAGGGTGAGGGTAGGAGTTAGTGGTGGGCAGAAGTGTTGAGGGTCGGAGTTACAGGTCGGGGGTTATCGGCTTTGGCGGGAGAGTACATTGTGAAGAAGTTGGGGGGGGTTGGTAGTCCCATTGGGTAAGACTGGCACTGACTGTGCGTCTGCCTTGGCATCATGCCACACCCAGATGTTGGGAAGTGGGCTGATGCCACCCTAAGGTGACGATCTGTGCAACTGTCCCCCACCACTGCTTTCCGATTTGAATGGCCTCTCTGTCTGTCTCTATCTCCCTCCCTCTCCGCAACCCCCCACCACCACCTGACTCCCTCTTGCAGGACCTGGCCGCCGCCGAACGTGCCAGGAAGCAGGCAGTGCAGGACCGAGAGGACATGATGGACGAAATGGGCAACAGCGTCTCTGGGAAGTGAGTGCAGCCTGATGATGTCCCTACTCACTGAGGCGTCTGTCTGTCTGTCTCTCTCTATCTGTATCTCTCTAACTGTCTGACACACATTCTCTGTGTCTGTCGCTCTCACTCCGTCTCTCCCCACTCCCCCACCCCTCTGTCTCTTGCTCCGTCTGTCTCAGTCACTCACTCGCTCTCTTTCCCGCTCTGTCTCTCTCACTGTGTCTGTCTCTTTCTCATGTTCCCTCCTGCTCCCCCTTCCCCCGCCCTCCCCGTCTCTGTCTCTCTTTCTCTGTCTGTCTTTCTCTTTCTCGCTCTGTGAGTTTTCACTCCGTTCAGCCCTTCCTCTGTTCCCTTGCTGCCCCCAAAGCCCTCAAGGTCAGCTTGAACCCCCTTGTGGGGCACTTGACTGGGGCAGGTGCTCCCGATCTTTGCGCATTTTCCTTGCGTATCCGCTGGCCCCCCCAACCGCCGGGCCCCAATCCTTCCGTCTGAAAAAGCTGAACCGGCGGCTGAGCTCACTGCGGGTTTGGTGTTTCACCACCAGGTCAGCGCTGTTTGAGGAGAAGAGGCGGCTGGAAAGCCGGATCGGCCAGCTGGAGGAGGAACTGGAAGAGGAGCAGAGTAACTTGGAGCTCCTGAATGATCGCTATCACAAAGTCACGCTGCAGGTGAAGCGCCGGGAGAGGGACAGCATTCCCGGGGAGGATTCCCAGCTCGTGATAACCCGACGCCAGTCTGACTTCCACATTCCCATCCGGCCTCCCCCCCCACCACCTTAACCCTAGAATCTGGTTACTAACCAGAATCTCTCCTCCACTTCTGTAAAAATATTCAGTCGCCCCGCGACCCCTTCACCCCCATCTCTGCCACCCTCCGAGGCCGAGCTATCCGAAGAAAACCTCCCCTTGCCTTTGCCCCAAATCAGTAGCACCTCGTGGTAAGCAGGAAGGACGTTCCAGGCGTGCAGGGAGTCCAGCCAAGCTTTCCCAGACCAATCCCTGGGATCGGCAGGACTGACGGATAAAGTGTGTTCCGGGTCAATTAGGATGGTGTTTGCCGGAGTTTTCGAAAAAAAAATGATGTGGGGGTATCTCCCAGAAATCTAACAGGGGTAAAGTCAGGAAGGATGTTCTGGGGTTGGGGTGAGGGTGAGTCCAGAACCAGGGGCTCACAGTCTAAAGGAGACGGGGCAGGACTGAGATGGGGAGAAATGTCCTCCGCCAGAGAGTAGGGGAGCCTGTGAGATTCACTGCCACAGAAAGCAGTCAGGGCCAGAACATTGGTAACAAGGAGGTGGTTAAGGGGAGGGGAGCAGGGGGCTGAGATAGATAGAGGGACTGAATGGCCGACTCCTGCCCCCTGTTTTTTACGTTTACAACAGCTGTCCCTAATTCTGTGCTGACCCACATCCTTTTATGCCGTCCTTGTCAATACCATTTTGGAGATTATACACACTTCAATCAGATCACCTCCCTCCCCCAGTCTCCTAAAGTCTAACCAGCCGTGTCAAACCGTTCCAACAACACTCGAAGCTCGACACCGTCCCAGGGACAAAGTAGCCCCCCCACCCCCCCGCCTGATGGGCACCCACACCCACAAACATTCCCTCCCTCCGCCGCTCAGGCGCAGCTGCAGCGGTGCGTACTGTCCCTTGGGCGCAGCTGCAGCGGTGCGTACCGTCTACAAGACGCACTGCGGGAACTCGCCAAAGATCCTCAAGCAGCGCCTTCCAAACCCAGGACCCCCTTCCATCTGGAAGGACAAGGGGCAGCAGGTACATGAGGAATACCGCCCCCTGCAGGATTCCCCCCCCCCCTTCTGAGCCAATCACCGTCTCCACTTGGAAATATATAGGGCCGTTCCTTCAGGGTCAAAATCCTGGAATTCCCTCCCTGTGGGTCTACCCACAGCACGTAGGACGGCAGCAGTTTGAGAGGGCAGCCCCCCCCTTACACCTTCTCAAAGGGGGCAACTAGGGACGGGGACAATAAAAGCTGGGCCCAGTCAGCAATACCCAGGTCCCACGAGTGAATAAAACCAAAACTTGAAAAATCATACAACTCATTCGCGGGATCGATCAGTTAAACCTCCACTCGAACCGTCTTCAACGTGCTGACATTCTCAAACGGAGACTAAAACCGTACAGGGTATTCCAGATGCGATCTCCTGAACTCCCTGCATAACTGTACCACAACCACCTCCAATTAATGTCCCATTTCCTCCCGTCAGAAAGGACAGGTAAACTGGGCGGTGAAGATGGCGTTCGGCACGCTTGCCTTCATCGCTCAGACCCTTTTGGGGTGTAAAGAGTCGGGGGACGTCACGTTAAGGTTGTACAGGGATGTTGGTGAGGCCTGTTCTGGAGCAACAGTGCCCCCAGTTCTGGTCTCCCCATTACAGGAAGGACGTTATTAAAGCTGGAGAGGGTTTGGGGAGAGATTTACCAGCATGTTGCCGGGTAATGGAGGGGTTCCAATTATAAGGAGAGGCTGGGTCTTTTTTCCCACTGGAGCGTAGGAGGGAGAGGGGTCTTTTATAGAGGTTTATGAAATCACTGGGGGACATGGATAGGGTAATTGGAAGGTGTCTTTTCCTTAGGGTGGAGGGATTTCAAGACTAGGGGACACAAAGGTGAGAGGAGAGAGATTTAAAATGGACATGAGGGGCAAATTTTTTTACACAGAGGGTGACGCGTGTGTGGAGTGAACTTCCTGAGGAAGCGGTGGATGTGGGTACAGTTACAACACTTAAAAGGACATTTGGATAAGGACATGGACAGGGAAAGGTTTGGAGGGATATGGGGCCAGGGGCCAGGAGCAGGAGGGTGTGGGACAAGTTTAGTTAGGGAATAGGGTCAACACGGACTGGTTGGGCCGAAGGGTCTGATTCCGTGTTGTGTGACTCTGTGACAGTGTCCCATTAGTAGAACCTGCGGAGAGACCTTTATGGAACAGCGCCCAGCTGTCTCTGCGTCTCAGTGCCTCAGCAATACGCCCCAGATATCTGCCCGCACCCCACCCCACCCCACCCCACCTCCCTTTGCTGACTCCCACACCTCAGACGATCAGCATTGGCGCGGTTACGGGATCCAAGACAGGTCCTGCAGTGCCGCCTCTGGTTCCTAACGTGCCTGCGCGTGCTCGGGGGCGCTCCGTGGGGAAGGAGGATGGGAGCAGGCAGCAGCAGTTGGAGCTGTGAAGCGAGCTGGGGTGGGGGATGCAGGCAGGTGGCTCAGGCCAACAGAGGCCGGCCCTTTGTCTGAGAGGGGCCTGAGCTTTGTAACTGACGGCAAACTCTCTGTCGGAGAGTAGTTTCAGTCGGGGTCGGTGGGGGTTGGGGGGCTGCAGTGTTTCCCTAGGGCAGCGCGCCCCAGGGTCGGGAAGCAGAGGGACACCCGGAGTGAGGGCTGTAGGGAGGAGAGTTCGGGGCGCGGAGTTTGCTGGAAGGTTGGAAACGTACAGACAGCGGAGGGGGACACAGGTGGTGTGGTGGTGGTGGGGGTGCGGTGCTGGGACGGGACTGAATGCCTTCCTGCTGGCACTGCTGTTATTGGGGTGTGTGGGGGGTGGACTTGACTCCCAGCGTGGGCCTAACCCCCCACCCCCGCCCTTGCCTCGGCAGGTGGAGACGGTGACAACGGAGCTGTCGGCAGAGCGCAGTCTCTCGCAGCGACTGGAGAACACAAGGCAGCAGCTCGAGCGGCAGAACAAGGAGCTGCGCAGCAAGCTGCAGGAGCTCGACGGTGTGATTCGCTCCAAGTACAGGACCAACGTGGCCACGCTCGAACTGAAAATCTCCCAGCTCGAGGAGCAGCTCGAACAGGAGTCCAAGTGAGTGACACACTCCCTAAACCAGGCCGATACTCCCTCCCCTCCCCACCGGTGCCAGTACTGAGGGAGCGCCGCACTGTCGGAGGGAGATGGAT